ACGACAGTCGACGGTGGCCAACAGTGGCGTCCGATCACCTTATGTTTTTATTTTATATTTTTAATTATTTTATATTAAATAATAATAATAATAAAATGTCATGTCATACCGAAATAATAATAAAATAATTAAAAGTAATCAAAACACGAGTAATTTGAAAGTTCAATAAATAATTAGATAAAAATAAAAGTATGGTGAGTAAAATAAGAGAGAATATAGTTCTACTTGAATCGAAACAATAATATTAATGGATATTTTATGCGTGATTTTGGTGATTATCGACAATAAATTAGGTGTGAAGATGAAGAAATGAATAAGATTATGGAATGTTTTTCATTAGCCGTATATTACGGTTGTCGTACAGTAAAATTACCCTGAAGATTATGTATATTAAGAAATGTAATTAATTATGCATGGATTTCAATATTTTTCGTATATCCCATTTCAAGATTCATCTACTCTCTAGGATTACCCATCTACAGGTAACTTTACTTGCAAGACACCGTCTCTTACCTTATCTGTATTATTTTTAACATTACTCGAACTTGATTCGATTCCTTTTAAAAATAATTGATCTTATAAAATCGAACGTAACTTGATTCAATTTTCATCCGAGACCCATCCTCAATGACAAGCGAGTGAGAGTATTGTGAAATGTGAGATGACATTAACATATCCTAAGGAGAATAGTAAAGGCTAAAGGGTCCCCTTGTCGTTGAAACAGAACTTAACCCAGCAGCTGAGCAGATCAGCTCATGCATGCATCCATCTACGTCTAACACAAGGAATTTTGGCAGACACCTTGCTTACCACTCTGCACATCTTTAAATGCCCATTTGCCCCTTTCTTTGGATATACATTGTACCCCAATATATAATATTTTATTTCATCTACAATTTAATCAATGATTATTTAGGGTAAATTCTGTGTTTAGTATATACATTATCAGTTTTGATACATTTTAGTATCTATTTTTTTAATTTTTTTCAAAGCATACCTAAAGTTTAGTTTTCGTTTCATTTTAATACGCCGCCGTTAAAGACTTTAGTTTTTTTTAAATTTAGTACCCAAGAGCTGAATTAGGAATTTGTTATTGCGCGGGTTAAAATATTTTTTTATTTTCTATAAATACAATTTTTTAATTGAGGAAAGCATGATAATTTTCTTTCTTTATTTTTTAAAATATATATATATATATATATATATATTAATAATTAAAAATATAATTGGCGGGGACCAAGGGTCCCCTTACCCTCCCATTGGTTCCGCCCATGAGTACCCCATTCAAAATTTAACGCTGAGTCTTGAAAAAAATTAAAAGTTTAGATACTAAAACAAACCAAAACTGATTGTTTATATACTAAATATGTAATCTATCTTTTTTAACTCATCAAGACTTCTCGGTAGTTAAAGAGATGATTATTTTTTTCTTAAAGTTTTGAGTTTGAATTTCAACGGTTGCATTTGCAGGATGTATATACATTATCAATGATTAAAAATAATTCAAAAAATAAATAAATTTACTCTTTCAACTATATTCAAATTCTGTTTTAACTTTTTTTTTAATTTAAAGTATCTTTAAAATTTTATTTCGTCATTATTTTTAATCATTTTTACTGAACATTAAAAAATATCATTCTGAACAAATTAATCATTTTTACAGAATGTAAGATTATCGGCAGGAATAAGATTACCGACGAGAATAAGATTACTGAGAATATTGTATTTTGTGTTGTTAGTTAAAGGAATAAAAGATTATTAGAATGTATATTTTACCAAATTGTCCTTATTATATGTTTATTTTTTTAACCAGTTAAATTTGACTATAATTAATTTATATATTTTCTTTAAAAATTTTAAATTCATAAAATTTATATAATTTTTTTTTACAAAATTGAAAAGATAAATAGATTTAATAAAAGATAAATAGGTTTAATAAAAGATATATAGGTTTAATAAAAGGGTAAAATTTTATTTTAACCCCTGAAATTCATATAAAATTTTAATTATGGATTTTTTTGTAAATCTAAAATAGTTTAAAGATATATTTGTAATTTAACCTTCATAAAAAAAAAATTTATTCAACGACAAAAGAATGACATTTTTGGGGAAAAAAAATTAAGAACATTTTAGTCCAAAACGCATGTAATCCAACAATACCTAGGGGAAGTGGGTAATCACATTCCCGATAATATACTCCCAAAATATCACTGTTGAGAATAAAGGATTACAGGGGGTTGAGAATGTTTGCCAACCAAACAAAGAAATGACATTCCAAACCAAACACCCCTAAGGATATGTATTTCATTCTTCAATATGAACTAAATTTTGTTTTGACCTTTAGTTTATACAAGGGTTTTATGCATACTAATGTTTGAAAGACTATTCGGTCCATACAGGAAGCCGATACGATGATCTTATTCAGAATCCGAAGCAACCTAAAATTTATTAAATTCTGATGGTAGAGTAGTAGGGTTTTATTTGGCGGAGAGAAGAGCATCGATTTTGTGTTCGATGTGTGCTTCATGGTCCTCTAGACGAGCTGCGACGACTTGATTCTTCGAATCCCAGAGAATCAAAGTTGGGACTCCGGTTAGCTTGAATGTTGAGTCGACCCGCCATGGATGTCGAGGGTTCCTCCATGTTGGCCTATCACCCACATAAGCTCTCAGCAGCGCAACATCCCGGACGTTGCTTCTTCAAGTTTCTTGTATATAACAGGTTCAGCTCTAACACAGTCTATAAACAAAAATAAACAATCTCAAAATTAGAATACTTCACCAATCCCCGTTGCGTAACCATAGGCTGCCAACATAGCTCTATTGCGAAAGATTAATAAACAACAGCAAGGAGAAGTGTACCGGGACACCAACTAAGAGAGGTTGACGGGTCTTTATCGGCCAAGAAAAGGATGAAATTGGCTCTGTTGTTGGGCGTATCCGATTTGAATTTCTCAAAGATACTGCCAAATGTTGAAACCGTCGAGTCCACCACCTTCATCGGCATTCATTTTACTACCAGTGTTTCTTTCTCCTAAAGATTGTGTGATTCAATAACCGAAAATCATTCTCAACACTCACCATCAATGTCGTCTCATGCACAAACATTCAGTAAGAACAAATCAAAGCAAAAAACATACAATCACAACCACAACCACAACAATTGTTGACTATAACGATAACACATTTTGCTCTCCAACCTATGATAGTATGCCGTTTTAATCTATTCGAACAGCAATAGACCAACAATAGGCTAACTGTAATTTATCTTTAAGCATTAAGCCGTAGTTAGGAATACAAACCTCAAACTGTAATTTCAATTGTCGTCATTGTTGACTCTATTTGAACTTTCCAAAAACTCAAATGATGATAGATTACAAGTAGTACATATGCATTGACCAAAGATCAAGTACTTCATGGTTTCTATTTTTCTTTTCTATTTTACTTCTCTCTTCAAGTAGGAGCCAGCAATCGTTTTTTACATCCGGTTCGATCGGTTTTCACACATAACCGACTTAGCCTACCGACCTGACCTATCTAGGTTTTAACCTACCTAACCGAACCCCATGGTTTACCTTTTGGGTCTTAATAAAGCTTGAAGATTGAATTAGTTGAACATTAGCGGAAGATCTAGGAATCGATGTTCTAAGCATCGGAGGCCATCAATCGAGAGAGAATGGAACTGATTATTTAGGAATCTGTTTTCACACATAATCGAATTTTCATTTCAACAATTGACCTACCTTTACCCTAAAATAGATTAGGAATCTGTCGGACTTTATTCAAAAGATAAACTATTTCATGATTGTAAAGTAAGCCCTTCAAAGGAAGCAATTGAAACTCAGAGTCTTTGGAAACAAGATTACAATTTTACAACATACAATTAAAAAAAAGCCCTTGTTTGTTACAAGGTAAGAGATTGAAATTTCAAACAAACCTGGAGCGATGTGAAAAAGGAAGATGAATAATACACGATAAGGAAAATGGAGGCTGAAAGGGAAGCAACCGGTAGCGGCGGCGACAAAGAGAGTAATTATGTTTTAGTTGTTTAGGCCATAAGGTTTTCAATTCCATGTCTTTCTAAAAGTAAAATTTGTCATTAAATTTGTTGAAATGTTATAAAACAGGGTAAAGTACACAAATAATCACCTAATTATAGTGTGTTATTTTATTAAGTTGTCTAATTATTAAAAGTTATCGAACGGTCTTTAACTATAGAATATTGTTTTATTGAGTTTTCAACTATTAAAAGTTATAAAATAATCAAATATCAATTCATATATTCTAAACTCGTCTTTTACCATTTAAAAAATGATAGGCGTCTAAGTTGGATGTCAACCTGTTAACTAGAAAATGATAAAAATCTGATCTTAGAACCGTTTGAGTTGTAATTTGTGGATAAGATTTTATAATATCCTATTTATTATGTTAATTTTCAGCTCAAATGGTTGTCAATTTTTTAAAAAAAAGACGAATTTGGAATATATGAACTGTCAAGATGACCATTTTATAACTTTTATAATCAAGAAACAAAAAATTAACACTCTATACTTGGGGACCATATTATAATTTCTAATAGTTGAGGAATTCGACAAAGTAATATTCTATAATTGGGGGACAATTTGTATACTAAACCCTATAAAACAATCATTTTAACGTTATAAAATTATCATTAAATTTAATGAATTGTTATAAATAAAACAAATTATTATTATTTTTATCAAATTACGAAATGATCATTAATTTCTAAATAGTAACAAAATAATCATTAAGTTATATAACGTTATGATCATAGAAACATCATGGTGACTATTCTAACAATTCGATAAAATCATTTTATAGCTATTAAAAGATTAAGGCTTAATATTAAATAAGTGCTTAAATTATATCACTTTTCACGAATATGTGTTAAAAGTATTATTTAACTCATTCTAATGTCTAACGTTATAAACGTTATCACTTTAAGTGTTCAGGCCGTCAATGATATTAATTTCCTGTTACATGACACATGTTACAATTTGGTAATTTCAAAAAAATTGTTTAAAATTAAAAATTACGATATTGACTTTTTAGACTTTTTAGTCCATTAAAGTTTCAAATTCTGTTACGCGACACATGTTACAATTTGGTAATTTCCATCACGGATCTTGTAATGTTGTATAATGCCTATGGATATATTAACTTTTTTACTCAATACTGTTCTCACTAGGGGTGTATTCGGTTCGGTTTTTTACCAAAAATTGAACCGAACTGAAATAAACGGGTTTTCAATATTTAAACCGAAACCGAATAGTTAAAAAACCGAAAACACGGAAATCGGTTTTTTCGGTTCGGTTCGGTTTTTTTAACGGTTCGGGTTTTTCGGTTCGGTTCGGTTTATCGGTTTTTCAATAAAAAAATCACTTGAAACTATAGTTTTTTTTTACAAAAATTGCCTATTCGGTTCAATATGGAACAAATGGGTTCCATATGGAAAACCCGAACCGAACCGAATCAAAAAAATGAAGCCTTTAAACCGAACCGAAAACCGAACCGAACCGTTTTACTCGGTTCGTGTCGGTTTTCTCGGTTTCGTTGCTCAGCCCTAGTTCTCACTGCAGCGTAATCGTCTGTGAAGGCGTTGCTATCTATGGTGTTATTGTAGCAATTATTTTACAAACAAAGTTAGAGAGTGTTCCATCATCACAAATATATGCGCCAGAGTCTCTTAGAGCTGGATATGCAATCTTTGCTTCTGGAATTATTGTTGGCTTCGCCAACCTTGTTTGCGGGTTTTTCCCTTATCCTTTTCTACATCTGAAATATTTTAAAAAATTGGTATCTAAATAAATATTTTGCTTATTTCTGTGTACCTTGTTTTGGGGACAGATTGTGTGTTGGAATAATTGGAAGCAGCTGTGCGTTGTCTGATGCTCAAAACTCCTCACTTTTTGTGAAGATTCTTGTGATTGAGATTTTAGGCAGTGCACTTGGACTGTTCGGAGTGATTGTGGGTATAATCATGTCAGCTCAAGCGACATGGCCTGCAAAATCAGTGTAATTTCATGATCTTAGAAGAAAATAGCAATTCGATTATGTGAGAATGTAGCCTGTTTCATATGTCGGTTACCCGAAATGAGCTCCCCCTTGTTTTGTTGTTATTAGTAGTAATGTATGTAGAAACCCGCCTGGAAGTGTCGCCCTGTTTTTTTTTGTTAGAACACATTTGTATGAAAACTTGCTTGAAGATTTTTCGTTCTTTGATCCTATACCCCACATGTTGTGCCAACGTTGTTTGTTCTGTCGACATTTTTCTGGTGGATAGCCACCCTTTTGTGTGCTGCCGATTTCTCTTATTGCCATTCATATTTTGAAGTTACAGATGCAAAAGAAATGAGACATAATTCGTCAGTGCATATGGAAAATGTTCCCTTTGTGTATTTTGATGACCATGGTGAACAAAGTAACAAGCAGGTAACGGTTGAGAAGTTTGACTTGCCAAACAAGTTAACTTATATATCATTTTTATTTTTCATCTTTGGAGAAACAAACAGTGTAAGCCTGCAAGATTGGATCAACTAATTAATGATTAATCGTGAAGAATGGCATGTTCTTCTGTTGAAGATCGTTGAGATCCTCCGGACATGCTTTCTTTGGATCAAACGGCTCTTGATCGGGGAGATGCAAGCCTTGCTTAATCTGACCCAGCCACCGCGAGTGCAGCACTTGTTTAGAGGTAACAGGGAACCTAGTGGACTGATATTCTTCCAGAGCTGAGTGTAAATTTTCCACTCCCCAGTTCTCGAGGCATTTGCCAAGAACTGCTGCATCTAATATAGTCATGTTTGTGCTTCTTAGACCATGAGGAGTTGTTGGGTGAGCAGCATCTCCTATCAACACTACATTGTCCCAATAAATCAGCTTTAGAGGATCACAATCATATATGGCATTTAAGAAAAGGGTCCTTGATCTCCTTCATGACTTTTACGAGCTCCGGAACCCAAGTTTCCTCGGCTTCTTTGATTATCTCATCGATCATTCCTTCACTTACTTTCATGGTAAGTGAATTTCTCTGTACACGCAGGAAAGAAAAAGAAAGATGCACACTTTCAGATATTCCCAAAACATCATTGACAACATGAAATTGCTATGTAAGAAGCATAATGTATGAGATTAGAGCAAGCAAGAACCTTTATCTCAGGCTCGATTTGGTTGACATAAAAGATCCAATTGAGCCTTTTGTTGAGCAATTCATAAAGCACAGCATGTGTTCCGGAGCCAAGGTCGAAATACAAGCATTTCCCAAGGTCAGGGTATGCTTTTCGGATGCCTTTAATGGTTTCTGAATCCTCCTTTCCTGAGAAATCAAGAACTCCTCTCCATGCACAGTAACCTGAATACCTGCAATGAGCATTATTCGTTGTTCGCCTTCTCAAAGAAGAAGGATGTTCTACACATGAATACGAGCATAGAATATCCAAAGACGCTCTGAATACATGAAAAAGTACTCTTGTCACACACATACCCATATTCGACTCTTACACCCGAATCTAACTAGCATTCGCTATGGACTTAGAATTGATTACACCTATATATATTGAAATACCTCAACTTAAGGGCAGGGAGAAAATGCTGGCGGGTTAAAGAGAGGCACCTATCTGCTGCAATGAGTAAATCACCATCTATCTCAACGCCGTTATCATTTCGAAGAAGTTTAGCCTTAACTCTGACATGGGATTTGTCATCAGAGATGGTGAAAGAGATAAATTGATGGCCTCAGAAGAATACATCAGGTGACAATGCATCGTATAGAAGGCCATGGATATCAGACCAATGTGCTGCTCTAAAATTGAATTCCTCATCTCTGGTCAGTGTTCAGCTCTCCTTTGTAGCACCATCTGTTGCTTGGTTCTGTTTAAAAACCCATTTCCAGAACATATGAAATGTTAATTATTGACAGCCCCAATCGTCAAAACAAGGCATACCGAAAGTGTAAAATTCACATAGTACCTGATCGATAGTGAGGGGCAAGGTGGCCTGGTGAAGGAGCTGGGGATTGCTGATCCATGAAGTGATGAGCGTTTGAGACAAAGGGTCCAGCCTCAGTCCGGCACCGGTTGGGCTGCTGGTTGGGGGAGCGCTGGTTTTCTCGAGCACAACAACTTACCATCCTATTTAAGTGAGGGCATGGGCGCATGAGACCCCGGCTATACTCCCTCCTACTATGATTGCTTTAGCTTTCTTCTTCTCATGGTGATCCTCAACCATTTCCAGAGATTTCTCTCGTTCTCGATGGACCACGAATTCTATGGAGAAGGAAAGGTAGTTGCTGATGACAATAGGATCTTCTGATTGCAGATGCGGACACGTGACAAAAATATGTAGTACTCCGCTAGTCCGCTTGGAGCATCCTGAGAGGTGAGATGGGCATTCCAATCATCATGGTCATTTTTCAATGAAGTACCTAAAATATTTTTTAGTCAAAATAAGTACCTAAAGTATTCAATTTTTCATCTAAGTACCTAAAGTATTCTTTAATTAATATCACATGTCAACTTTTTTAGAACTTAGATGAAAATGTTCGAATATTTTAGGTACCTATTTGATTAAAAATATAACTTAGGTATTTATTTTGACCAAAAATACTTTAGGTACTCAAATGAAAAATAGAATATACTTTAAGTATTTATTTGTATTATAAGCCTATATATATATAATGAATAATTACTATTTATTAACTTCTTTATAATTAGGATAAAATAAAAAAAATTATTTTCAACTTTTATCCCACTCTTATTTTAGTAACTAAAGTTTACAAAATTTCAATTTACTCCTATTTTGGTCATTCCGACGTTAAGTTATGATCACACATATTTCTCTTAAAAGTTATGAAATGACCTCAACTTTATTTTCTTGTGAAAGAACCCTTAATTTAGAATTCCATTTGATTTCTCAATGATGTATTTTTTTCTAAATTCTAATGGTGCGAAAGTGGAGACAATGGAAGGAAGATTTTACGCTGATTAGAAGGAACTTTTATGAGTTTATAGTGATTTAGGTAAAATCTAAACTAATGAGATGATAGGAGACAATAAAATAAATTTGTTGATATCTTGAGTGGTCAAAGAAAACACTGAAAATGATCATTACATCACAGACATGACACAAAGATGATAATTACATCGTCGGTAGATTCAAGTTCCTTTGTGGAGTACTGATAATTTCTTCATACTCAACAACATCGAGTTCTTGAAGATGTTCGGGAAGGAAAAACTTCGAAAGGATGTGTCGTCTGGTGCTAATGAGGAGAAAGAACGGTAATGGAAACAAGATTCCAATTATATGTATCCATGTTAGGGATTCAAATAACAGTCCGTTATCAAAATAATAACCATTATATAATGGTTAAGGTTTCGTCCTAAATTGTTATTTCACAATTGCGATACCCACAATGACTACACTAACACCCGTTATTATCACAATAGCGATAAACCCAACCGGAAACGTGATACACAAATTAGAAGTGTAAACTTCAAAAAAGGCACAGATTCCACAAATGATGCATGCATGCTTGAACTGTAAACGGTAAACGGTAAACGGTTCTTCCTCAAATATATGGATGAGGTATTCTTCATACACAGACACTGTGCTCAACAGTTCTTATCCAGAGAAAATTTCAATTGAGCAGAGGGGTTTATCTTGTTTCAGAGAAAATTTCACAAGGTAAAGTAGGGCTAAAAAAAACAAATCGTAGTTCATCTCATTAACGCATGGCAACATCCTTTGTCATCAAAAGAAACCCCAAAGTATTAAGAATCGATAAAATTCAATAAGACAAAACGACCGACAACTCCCGAGAACCTGTTCTAGCTTTGAACCGTTATTTTTTCACTGGAGATTGAGTGATGAACTTGGTGAGAACAAAGCAGTCAGGAGGGTCCATGTTTGTGTAATAGTTCTTGATCGTCTCGGTGATTTCGAACCCGAATTTCTTGTAGAAGTTGACGGCATCATCGTTGTTTGTCTGAACATGCAAGTAAATTTCTTGTATGTTTTGCTTCAAACAGAGATCGATAACGTGGTTCAATAGCCTCGTACCTGCATAAATGCAGATTTTAAGCAAACTTTCATACAAACAAGAAACATGAAGGTGCAAGGTTCTTAAATAACTACACTTTTCTGTTCAGAATCATGGAGAACAAAATTTCAGTGACCAGTTACTTGCATTTTGCTCTTCGATTCTTCAATGTTAACCTCATCAGAGAATGCTCTCAGCCATCAGGTTCGATTATTCTTTCGTGATAGTTGAGCATACCAAGTAATACTTGGACCGAATTAAAAACCAATAATCATGGATTAAGGTTATTGATTCCTTTGCAAGACCTATGCCAGGAACAAAAATATTGTGTACTCACCAATGCCTAGCCCACGATATGGTGCTAAAACACCCAATGTCATGATGTACGCACGGACAGACCTACTTTCCTTCTTCTCCAGCCGGCAAACAATCGATCCAACACATATGTCACTGTAATATGCTGAATTAGAAAGAAAAAAGAGTCATCGTTAAAATAAACATGACAACATTGGATAGTATTGCTCATGTTTTAAGCATTCATCAAATTTCAGCCATGTATATATATATATATAATATATATATATATATATATGAAAATCACATTATGCTATTTGTATGTTAACCCTACAAAATTGGTTTTCACAAACCATCACATAGCAATACAAGGTCATTATCGATGCACCGTCATAAAACAAACAATACAACATTATCCATACGATGACAACACATCGCAGATGTTCTCTGCACATTTATAAGATGATAGAGTTAGACAAGACCGAGGACGACTTAAGTATTAAAGAGAACATATAATGTATATAGTTATCACGACAGACGGAAACGATATGGTAATTCTTCTTCGAAAAGGAACAGGTTTTGAAATGTCTATAGTTCCAATTAACAGATATGGAGCATAAATCTCAATAAGCAAGTACCTCCTACGCAGCATCGTAATTTTCGGAATGGGGAAATGTTTAGCCTCGGATTTTATGGCTTTTAGAAGTTCTCTAGAGAAGTTAACACTGCCACAAACTAGTACTAGAAACTCACAGGAAAAGCTGGATTAAGAGAAGTTAACATTCCACAAACCAAGACTGCCAATTTCATCACTTAACAACCACGTTTCAATCATGTGTATATCGCATATCTGTCGTATACAAAAACAAACTGGCCTAGTAAATCTGACATTTTCTCAATGCAAAGAGCGAAAACCCTAAAAAAATTATAAAGCCAAAACCAACAGATCAATGAAAGATCCCCATAATATGATTAAAAAACACGTGCAGCAGGGAAACAGCGACCATAAATTACCCAATGGATGGAATACAATAATAAACATTAAAGAAAAACCCAGATTTTAAAGAAAGACCTAAACAACATGCAATAAACAGATAAAACTGAGCATTGATTTTTAACACAAGATAAGGAAAACCCAGAAAAGAATGGAGAAAAAAAGGGAGCAGACCAAGCTTGGTTAAATCGCCAGAAGCGAGAGCATCCGCATAGTACTTTTCGTTATAACGAACAGGGAAGAGAACAGTGTTGAGCTTCTTCAGCTGCATCACGTTCTTGTCCCTCACTCCATCTAATGATACTGAAACTTCCCGGCCACCACCCATTTTCTTCTACACAAATTAAAACAAAACGAACTTCAGCGGTGGAATAAAATACAAGTTTTTTGCTGCCACAATGGCGGGGGAGGGAATGGTACGGTCCAAAACTGGAATCCTCTTGTATGTACGACGATGGTGAGATTTTATAACGAGACAAAAACGAGAGAGGGATTGCTTTCCTTGGATAATTTTGGGTTTCTTCATATTTTATAATTTCTTTTTCTGTTTGTTTCCCACGACTTTACATTTTTCGTTTACCGTTTTGAAATTCGATTCCAAACATACACGATCATGGAATGAGAGACAACTTGATCCCGTAGGTCACGCGGCTAAAAATTGACCTATTAGATTCATCTTTAAAATTAATTTAGGATATACAATAAGTATCATAATATAAAATAATTTTATCATTTTATCTAAATAATATTATTTTATTTAAATCACATCGAAGTGATAATTTCAAAAAAAATATTTTTTTATTAAATTTTTTTCGTATCAAAATAATAAATTCTAATATAAAATTTTATTTTATTAAAATTTTAAACCATAGTAATAAATATCATAACACCCAAAACAAAGATATATAATGTTTTATCAGACTAAATAATTAAGTCATCTATGATATTAAGTCAATTTTACATGGAATAATATTTTTTGGAATTCAACTCATATTTAGATATATTTTCTTCAAATAAGGGTTTTGGGAAGGAGATATGCCGATTAGGGATAGCAAACGGGTACAATTTTTTAGATTTTGTATCGTATCCGCTTCAATTAAAGCGGGGATGGGCATAATTTTAGTGGGTAGTGGGTAGGTGTGGATTTAGAAAGTGGTACCCGTCGCGGATATTGGGTGGATGATGAGTTTGAGACCTTACTCGCCCCGCCTCCGTCCGCCCACTAAATACCCATTAAATTTTAGACTATTATAAATTTAGATATAATTTTAGGGTTTGTCATTTATGTGTGTCAAAGAATAAAAATATTATGTGTTTGTCATTTATGTTTTTAGATTTTAATTATGTCTTTTATTATTGTGTTTTATATACTTTAAGATCTATGTTAACATTTAACTCAGATAATCCTTGGTTTATTTTATAATGTTTCTTAATGGACATATTTGCTTTATGTTTGTTGTTTATGTATAACTTAAGGTTAATGTCAGGTTGGTCTAGCCAGGTATGTCTCCAGTTGAGTAGCGGGTGTGGGGATGAATTTGAAAATGTACCCACCATACGGTGTGAATTTAAAAAATTTTACTCATCATAAAAGATGGACGGTGATAAATTTAAAAATATCAGATGAATATAAAAATAAGAAAGAGTTTATTCACACCTGACTCACCTGTTTACGAACGCCAACAAATGTTAAATGTTGTAACCCATAAATTTATTAGGGTAATATTTTAATATAAAAAATCTCAGTCATGAATTGAAGGTTATTTTAAAGATATTTCGTTTTCTATTAAATTATTATTTTTCTAGAAATTACGAATCCTTCCCTGAAAACAAAATAAAAAGGGGAGTCTCAGAACGGGACTGGTCTGTGGTAGAGAGCAAGAAGAGAGAGTAGCCAAAATGTCGTCGTTTTTGCAGTCGTTTCTGGATCCGAAGAAAAGCTGGTTGGCAGCTATGCACATGAAGTCCGTTACCAAACGCCTCCGCAATTACGGTACGTTTTTCCCCCTAAAAAATCTAACCCTAATTTTTTTTAAATTTTGATTGAACTTTAAACGGTAATTTGTTTAGGTCTTCGCTACGACGATTTATACGATCCTTACTATGATCTGGATATTAAGGAGGCGTTGAACCGGTTGCCCCGTGAGATCGTCGATGCCCGTCACCAACGCCTTAAGCGTGCAATTGATCTCTCCATGAAGCACGAATATCTTCCCGAAAACCTTCAGGTTTCCTCTTTCTTCATTTAGTTTGAGGTTTTAATTAAGATTTGGGAGAATCTTACTTGAGTTCTTAATTTTGCGGGGGACCTATTTATCGTTTATATGTATATTCTGATTGGATGGAACTATTATATGCCAGGATCCTAGAAGGAATCCTATTACCTTTTAATGTTATGCTGTTGATGTTTAAAATGCATATGCGTGTAATCTCATATTGGGATAGAACTAAGGTAGAATGATTCACTTGATTTATAGCTATTATTTGTTGCTACAGTTAGGGCTCTCTTTCTTTTTGCTGCTTCTAATCAATTGGTAACAACATGAATTGAGAAACCCAATTATTCTCGATTATTAATGGAAGTAGAAAAGCGGGAATTAAACTATCGTTTTACCCTTAGAGCTCAATCATTATAAGGTTATTAACCAAAATGGATGCAGTTGAGGAACTTAAATTGCATGATTTGATAATATGATTAGGCAATGTCAATTTTTGTTAAAATCAGTGAGGAAAATATAGCATTAGACAATCAGTGTTTTTGATGTGAACATGTATCTTCATTTCGTGAATCATGACTTTATTTTGACATCTCATTATTCATTGGAATTTTTATTCTTCACAGAAAATGCAGACACCATTTAGGAGCTATCTTCAAGAGATGCTTGCCCTAGTAAGTTCTTGAATGATAAAGCTCTATTTACTAATTCCCTTGAACTCATTTTTTGGCTTCGGTTATATCATGGAATTACAGACATCTATAAGTTGTTAACTCAAGTGTGTTCGGTTTATTCTAAGTTTACCTAATATGAATTCATACATTCATATTCGTGCCTACTTTGAGGGTTCATGCTACTCTACATAGGTGCTCTAGACTATGTTTGAAAGTTGAAGGAAAGAAAAAGAAACCCTCAAGATATTAAAGTATTACATTTAAAAAAAATTAATCCTTTCCCCTCCATTTCCTCAAACCTAGGGTAGTTACAAAGTGGAGAATTTGAGCGAAAATTAGGGGGTGCACTACCCCCTTTCCTGTTTTATTTAAAGTTTATCCAACTGAGGAAATGCTCATATGTTTCTTTTCATCTCTTTCCCCCGTATTCTCTTAATTCTAAAATAGTGTTAGAAAAACAGGAAGTTGGAGTGATATTGATGTTACATGACTAGTAACAGGGTTACAATTCATATTTTTATTGCATTTTAGCTTACTAGGGAATTAATGCTCATGCTGTAGCCCTTTTGTTAAGGGCGCAAGGGGCACTACATTGCCAAGGCCGAAGGTGCAAAAAACATGCAATCCCTAGTTAAGTAAGGCACAAATATATAATATATTTCTAAGAAGTTTTATGACAATGTATTGTATATGATAAGGTAGACTTTTAACATGGAATATGTTTTGATGAACTCAAAAAAGATCACAATTAGCCTTTGAGGGAACCAGAAATTTTAAAAACTCTGACCCTGATATGAAATAAATAACTAGAGCTAGGATTTCTGTCTTTGTCTTCTATTATCCCTTGGTTACCTCCTCCTATGGGCTTCATAAAACTGAATGTGGATGCTGCCACTAGTGGTGATTGGAAGAGAAGTGGTCTTGGAGGTATTTTAAGGGATCATTCAGGTGATATACTAGGATCTTTTCAGGACTCTGCGGGTTCGGGACCTCCAACATTGATGGAACTTAAAGCTATTCAAAGGGGTTTTTCTTACTTTGCATCTATCCAAGGGATGGTTAAAGATCGGCTGATTGTTGAGAGTGATAGCAGGGTAGTAGTAGACTGGATTAACAATGTTGATTCTTGTCCAGTTGTGTATGCTTCTATTGTTAGAGATATAGTTGTTAAACTTAGAATTTTTGGGGGGGTTGTTAGATGGGTTGCAAGGACAGCAAATATGGATGCTGATGCTTTAGCTAAGGCTGGTATAGGCTGAATTTTATGTTATAAGCGTGGTTCGATTGGGTTTCTGGGTATTGTTCGGAAGGGGGTTGTTGCACTTTGTAAGGGACATTTGTCTTATCTTTTGTTGGGGTGTAATTCTTATTTTCTTTAATGAAGTTTCTAAGGCACTCTTTTCCTCCTTCCGCTGATTAAGGAGCTTCCATAAAAGCTCCATTAATCAAGAAGGAGGTTTTTAATGAGGCCTTCAAATCTTATAAAAAAAATTATCCTTATTTAAATAGATAAAGCATGTGTTTATTTTTCTGAATTTTAAACTAAAAACTATTAAAAATTCCTATTTATAGAAAAACGGAAAACAATTCACTCAAGCATGCTGTGTTAGCACCTTTTCCTTAAAAAATGTTGTGCTTAAGTGCCAGAACCCACTGCTCATTAAAGGTTCTTTGCATAAAGGGTAACGAGTGCTTTTATTGTTTACTGTTGTGCCTTTCCATCTAAGAGTGCCTAGGAATACCATTTGAGTCACTGATTATAGTAATTTTTCCTTGATTTTACAGCTCGTATTAGCTGTGGTCTGTAATGTCGTATTCAGATTTAATTCTGATACCCCAGTACTCAGATGTAGGAATTGCCTCGTTTGGATTGCTTTGTCTTTTTGTGAATTGGATCTTAAGATTTCACTGCAATTCCTGTAATTTATTGATCCTCTGGGATCACAATTGTGACGTTTGATATGTGAATTTGGTTCTACCATTTAAATTTGGCAGATTTAGCCTCTGCTCCAATTATAGCAAATTTAATCCTTACAATCTTATTACAAGTTGATTGACGGAGAATCTTTGTGGTGTTAAAATATTTCATTAATTTGGAGATGTACATTCTAGTGGTGTCATGACATGATAAGATGGATTAATATTTGACTGTGGTACACATCATATCTCAGTGTATAAAATAATAAGTAATAGCTTTTCAGGTTAGGTTTCGAAAAAACATTGCCCTTTTATTTTAAAAAATATGTATTTTTCACATTGTGTTAATGCGTGCCTTGTGGTCGAAATATTCAGTTTTGCAATTCTTGTAATCATCAAAATAAAACATGGCTGAAACTGATGATAATTTTTCATTTCCATCTTGGAATTCTAGATTTGTAGTTATTATGTGTGTTTTGCTTATGTAACTCGTTTGAATGAAGTTTATTATTGCAATTTTTACAAATTGAGAGGAATTTTATGTGGTTGAAACCTTCTATTTTGCTCTGCTAAAGTTTACCCGTCACATTACAGTTTATACTGCTTATCGTTCCTATTTTGCTGACATAATCGGTAGATGTAGTGCACCTTATTTATGGAATAAAATATTATAAATTTTAATCTAGCATATTAGTTTTTTTTTTTTTGGTGTTTGATAGAAGCAAATTTTCTTTTTTGGTTATGTTTCGAAGGTGAAGAAGGAGAATGCTGAGAGAGAAGCCTTGGGAGCTTTGCCTCTGTACCAACGAACCATACCATGAGGTGTGCAGTATCTTATGGTAACTGGCTGTTGAAATCCATTCATCTTCAAATGTTTATTTTTATGCCAAATGTCTCGAGTGAACCCGAGTTTTGCCTTTCCTATTTTGTTAGTTACGCAGTGATCTCTGCGTTGGGTTTTTTAATGGAAATACTTTTTGTATCTGCTGCCATGATGATCAGGGGTACTGGGGTTTCCTGAATAAATAAAATCCTGATTTTGAACTCAAAAGCTACGTTATTCGGATTCCCAATTATGTGATTTGGATATGATATAGTATTTGACTCGGAACATGACATGGAAGTGAAGAAAATAACGAGTCCATGACACACAAAGCAGTGCACATGTCACATGATGCCTAATTTGAGCTACTATGTACCCGTAGGTTTAGATTGATTGGAAGGGGTTTTACTTTGGATATTCCTAATTATATGTTTAAAGATAATTCTTGACTATTTGAAATTTAACATTTTCATCAGTGATATTATTGATATTCGAACTTAAGATTTCAAGAAATAATAATGATTCTTTTATCATCGAGAACGTGTAAACAATTATATATTTTAAATAGACTCGATAAAAATTTATTTATTTATTAACAATGATACGAATCATATGATTATTTTTTTTGGCCGATTAAAGAGAAATCTTGAACAACAAAAATCTAATTTTGAACCCAAAATCTTACGAGTGTAAAATAAATATTTGTTGTCAATTCATTTAAAAGCCAAATAAATTTTATACAATGGAGAAGGAAAGTTGATATCTTTTCTAGGATAAGGAAAGGACAATGGTTCACATAGAAGGAAAGTTTTATCCGCGGCCTTAATATACAGTTAAAGAAAGACGTTGTCAATTTTATTATTATTATTTTAACAAAACCAGTAAAAAATTATCTAAAATATTATTATTTCGATTAGTTTTATTATTATTAGGTACTTTACCGAGCTTGGTAATATATTAAGTAAAACGTTACCTAAAACATTATTTTTCTACCGGATATATTATCACACCCGGTAAAACGCCCAATAATAATAAAATCAATAGAAATAATAATATTTCTGATAATTTTTTATCGATTTTATTTTAAAAAATAATAATAAAACCGATAACGTCTTTATTTAATTTTATATTAAGCTGCCGGACGCGACAATTCCCAGGTGATAGCCTGCACCTCTCCTTATTTATCAGCTGTTTTTAATCAGTTAATCAATGGGATATTGGCCCACGTGTTCTTCTGCATGAAACAATCCACGTCTTCCCCACGTTTTATGTCTTCTTTTCAATGAACAAATAGAAAAAATAAAAGGAATTAGGTCAGCCGAGATTGGAGGTCGAGTAGAGGCGGTCGTACCTTTTAAGATTTAAAAATCGACATACATTAGAGATTTATATATATTTTTTATTAAAAATTTATTTTTATATCTTTTAAATTTTATATCTTCAAATTCATTCATTATAATTTTAGAAATTAAAATTTATATATATTTTATATGCTAACCACATCTTAGTCGAATTAGTAAGGGCTACAATGAACACCTCAGCTGTTAAAGCTTTATTATATTTCATTTGTAGAAAACGAGTTAAAAGATTAATCAATGTGCCGTCATCTTTCATGCTTTGCTTGCTACCTTGGGACTGAAACCATTGTTTTCTAACCCCTAAGGATAATTATAACGAATGCAAAATAATAAAGGGTTAATTACACGATTAATCATTTATATTTATGTTGTCTTTTTTTTTCTCAGTGATTTTAAAAACTATAATGTATGATCATTTTCGTTTTTATTTAATTAAAATGTAGTTATCAAGTTAATTATTATTAATTATTTTAGTATAATCACACATTTGATTCATGAATTTACACATTCTCTCAATTTAGTCATATTTTTAATAAATTAAAATAAATTTAATATCCTAATCGAATGATGTCGTGTCATTAGTGCAACAAGTCACCATTAGGGCTAAAGGTATTTGAACTGAAGTCTCTTCGGAAACGAAGTATGTACCATACCATTGAGCCAAGATCAATGCTTAGTTTAAAATAGACAACATGGTGCATATATTTTGTATTTTAGTGTAAAAATACTTAACTTAAAATTCATAATATTTTATATATATTAACTTTGAAAAATTATATTAACTTATTAAATAAATTTTATCATTAATTTAATTTAAAAATATTTTATTTTAAATATATATATATATATTTTATGTTAGAAGTTAAAATAAGAATAAAATATATTTAATAATTTATATTAATAATATAATATATTTTAAAATAAAACTAAATTGAGAGAATATATAAATAACAGGGATCAAATATGTGATTATACCAAAATACCATGTCACCTAATATGTTAACCCGTGGTGACCCAATCTTAATTAAATAAAAACGAAAGTGATCATATCTTAATTAAATAAAAACAAAAATTACCATATATTATGTTTTTTAAATCAACGAGGAAAAATAGACAAAACACAAACATAAATGACCAATCATGTAGTTAATCTAATAATAAAATACGATTGTATCATCTTAATAATAATTTTTTTATTAATTTGGGATAAATACAATATATATTTTTTTAAAGATAATTCTCAATCATTTGACATTAAAACGCTCACGATATTTTTAGTGCTCGAACTCATAACCTAAAAAAGTAACAACATTTTATTTACCACTAAGGTCGCTCATCTCACTAATAGTTTTTAAATTATATGAACCAAACACAAATCTAAAACTTCGACCAGTAAGCAGCAACAACAACAAAAAATCAAAGCAAGAAGAAGATGTAAAAGATGAACTTAAAATATCTCAAAATACACGAAATGATAAGTAAAATAAACTACATCCATTATTTTTTTTTTAAAAAAGGAAAAGACAGATTACTTGAACTGGAGAAGAAGATGAAGTGGATGCTGAAGCAGAAGAAGAAGAGGGAATTGAGGATTTAGAAGGTTTAGGAAAATCCATGCTTTGAAACCCTAATCAAAGTTAATATCTGCATTTCTTATTTCCCCCCCCCCCCTTTTTCGAGGGTTTGGCAGCGAGACGTAGGCAAAGGAGGAGAGAGGCGGGCATTCAAAATCCGAGCAGGAAACACGGCAAAGAAGTTACAAAATGATTATCTAACTATTTATTATATTCTAAATTTATTCTTTTATATTAAAAAATTGATGGTATTCTAAGGTGAACGTTAATCTATTGACTGCGATATGATAAAATTTTATTTTAGAATCACTATTATATCTTAGGCATCATATTAACGTCAACTTAGGTAACTGTTAAATTTTTAATGAAAAATGACGAGTTTGGAACATAATAAATAATCGGATGATCATTTTGTAACTTTTAATAATTAAGAGACTTAACAAAGTAACATTCTATAATAGAAGGATAATTTTATAACTTTTAATAATTAGTGAACTTAATAAAATAATTTTCTATAGTGGGTATGTTTTACCCTAATTCCTAATCCTCTCCGTTGGGTATTCCTTGTTTGTTTGATGAAAATACCTCTTAGGTTCCTCTAGATTTTAAAAATTGATAAATTGATCCTCTTGAAAATGGATGAGCGATTTAATCCATCTCAATTTCGAAAGTGACCAGTTAAAAGAAATTGATCATGTTTTTTTTTTTATGTTTTCCGTCAATTTTATGTCACTTTGATTGAGAATAATAATAAAATTAACCTTTGGTGTTTACCTATTGTGCACGAATTATACGACTTATGTGGTAAAGGAATTGTTGTTATTTTTGAGTACTCGAGTCCGAGCACCATAGATGTTAAAGGGTGTGAACGTTCAAAGATGAAAGTTTAAGAGTTATCTTCGAACATATATTATCTTGTACTTCCTTTAGATCAATTAAAAAAATATATTGTGTTAATTTATACAATTTTTTTAAATATTCAACAGATTTTTACCCAAAAAAAATCAACATATAGTTTACTTTTTTATAAATTTGCAAAAAGCATCAAAGGTCTTTGTATTTTTAAAAAAAAAAATCAATGTAGCTTTTGTATGATTTTTTTCTCTCTCAACGTGACCTTCTAATTCAGAAAACAAACTCAATGTAACTTTTTGACCAATATTTTTCATCGTTTGACTATTACAATATTGATGTAGCAATTCACGGTGCTGGCATGACAGTCCGTCTGCCATGTTTGTGTCACCAATTTAGCTCATCTACTATGTTATCCGTCAGATTATCAACCACCGTGAATTGTCACGTCAACACCATAAATCATCACATCAACACTGTGAAATGGCATATCATAATTGTAACAATAAACGACGAAAAATGTTGGTCAAATTATCACATTGGACCTATTTTTTGAGTTGAAACCTTAAAGGGTCACATTGAGAGAAAAACAATTTTACAAAGGTCACATTGATTTTAAAAAATACAAGAACCTACAATACCTTTTTACTTTATAAATTTGTAGGCTAAATTTATTATTATGTTATTACTATATTAATACATTTTTTTCTTGGTAAAGAGGACTAACCAGAACTTATTGAATGATATCATTGATAAAAAAATGTTTCTTGATATCGAGAGGGACGTGAAAGCAAAGCTTAGGAATCAACAATCACCAGCCTTGGGAAAAACCAACTCCCCAAGAAAAGACTTTTCATTACACATTGGAGCTCTGCAATCAACGTTATTTGTCACCAATTCCTCATCAAAAAGTGACTCTTTCTTACAGAACTCTCATGGTCCACTAAATTAGTCGATAGAAAACCCATGTTTCAACTGGTTTCTGTTTTCATTTTCCTTCTTTTCATTACCAAATCTAACGCTTCCAGAACTTTTATTCTTCTCGTCGACCTTCTTTTAAAATCGTTGCCTTTCCGGCACCAACCATATCTTGAATCATGTGAAGTACTTGCCAATTATCAATGCTTTTGTTCACCCTTAATCTTCTAAAATAAACAATGATCGGTGAAATGGCTAACTAAACATCATAGAGGTTTTGATGAGGTGCTCTTTGGACCAAAGCTAATCCCGTGTAGAAAGAAGGCGTTTCCTCGATACGTAATCGACCTCTCCTCGCTCCCTACGCACCACAAGTGGCCTTGCAACTCCAGAATCCCTTTCATACCTGATGTTTCCCATACAAACTTAAATAACCCCAGAGCCCTTTCTAATTGCTTAACCCCACTCCAAACCATCTTCTCCTCGTTTGAAGTTAGAATTCTTCCCATGCACAAGGTAAGCTTATTATCGGAACCATTCCCGTAAACAGCTCCACACAAATCCACTTCGAGATCTCTAACCTGGCCATAGAGGTAATACAATAAAAGTGTGAATAAGCACTGTGATGAGTGTCCTAATGTCTTACTCAACTTCTTCTGTACGAGGCTTTCTTGGTGCCCAGCATCCTTATACCCAATACTATTATCAGCTAACACATCCCTAATCTGAGAGACACCTTCTTTCATTACCTCTATCTTTTTCAAATGGTAAAGCCGATCCTTTTCACTCTTTAAACAATTAATGAGATCATTAAACATCTCGAAAACATCCTCCCATTTACGTGGAGAGTCGACAACTTTTGCAGGCGAAAGCCGAATCCATGAAGCGGAATCAGGGTCATAAGAACCAGCTGATTCATCCAAGAACTTAAGGCAACTACAAACTATCTGCTGACCCATCTTGGTTCCTTTACTTGGGAATTGGCAATTCAACAAACCAATCTCTGTTTTCAGTTCGTTCAATATTTTCTCAAGGGCACCTGTCCATATCTTGTGTTGCGTAACCTGTGGACATATAGTTAGACGCACCAGCTTCCTCTGTTGAGCAGTAACATTCAAAACATTGCTCACCGTGGTTAATGAATTCACAATCATGGGCTCCCTTTCACTAGGTTTACCGAAACAGTCAAATGCAGAAATTTGTTTCTTTAGCATTAGTTGAACTGATGGGGATCCAATGAAGACCCTCATAACCGACTTGAAAGTATTCATTCTACGATCAATGCAATCGTCACTGATGATTGAATCGTCATTCACATTCACAAGCCGTCCGTCAACTAAATCCACATCTTTTAACAAGTGGGCTAATCTTGTCAACTTAGGAAATGCTTTTTCATACCATTCATAAGGCAGCACCTCTTCGTTTGAATCACCAGTGCAGTGATATAACATTGCATTAAAATGCAGAGCACAGTTTAGCTTCATTTCGCAATACTTTGCATTTTGGAGAACCCTTTGAACGACCTTAAATGTCCTCATCAGTTAGAGAAATCTCTACTGTATATAAAAAAAATCTGAACCTCAAAACCACTGATCCTAAAACAACATAAGTACATCATCCACCAACATCAGCATTAGTTCTGCCTTTCCATGGTTTCTTCTCAATGCTTTTCTTCCTCATTCACTGTTACATCCAAATAGATTTCATAACTCTTGCTATAAACAAAAAGAACCAACTAAAAACAGAAACCAATATGGCTAAAAGAGTACAAACAGAGCAATATCAGTAGATCAACAAATCATCCTCAAAAAGTTGAAAATTGAACTGTGAAAACCCATATGCTAAAATATGAAAATAGTAAAATCTAAGCACCACCCAAACTGAGAAACAACGGGGGAAAGTGAGCTAATGAATCTAGGGAGCATTGGAACTAAAAAAATGGAAGAAACGAATGAAATTAAACTGGAAAGAGGGATGCGGAGAATGAAAAGGAAGAAATAAATCTGGTATTACATAAATGAGATGTTACTCAGCCATTCTCTTGACGGCGTCGATGATGCTGTTATTTTCCCAGAGACCTTTCAATTTTCGCAGCAGCAGAGAAATACACAGAAGGGGAGACCGATGATTTTGGTGCGGTGGGATTTCTGTTGAATCTGGGAACGCGACACTGCCTTCTGAATCTCTGGTAGCGAACGGCGCCTTTCACTGCTGGTGGTGGTGTGCTGACGGATAAATACGACGGCGGGATTGACTGTTTAGGGTTTCGCAGTTAATTTCATATTATCATATCTTCAAAGAGTGAAATAGATAAATGATTCATATTATATTTATTAACTTTACTGATTATTAAAAAAAAATTGACGATCATATAATCAGGATGTTCACATGTTAATTAAAATACGATACAAAAAAATCATGACTATTTGAGTTGTATTTTATAGATTGAATATCTGTTTATATTATGTTTGTCGAGTTAATACTTGAAATATTATATCGTCGAGTCAATGCTTAAAAGCAATAACGGTGTCAGTATACATCATTTAAATATAATTTTATCATATCTCAGTCAACAAGTTAACATCTAGTTTAGGCAATCGTTAATCTTTTAGTATAAAAGAACAAGTTTGAAACATATGAATAATTGAGTGATTATTTTGTAACGTCTACTAGTCGGGGTTCAATAAAGCAACACTCCATAGTTGATGTATCATTTTGTAATTTTTAATAGTTAAGAGACTCAACAAAACAATATCTTATAGTTAGGAGACCATTTGTGTACTTTACCCATCTAAACTATAACATTAACCTCTTAACTATTTATCACTTTTACTATCAATCTTTTAATTTTGTCAATCAAACGACCTAACTATTTAATTGTAGTACAGTCGTTAACAATTGACGGAAATACTAAATTGACAGTTAAATAATTTTGTATAATTACACATATGGTATTTATTGTTTACATATTATTTCAGATTAGTTTTATTATAATAAAACCAATTAGTAAGTCCACTCAAAGATCTCTTTTCTCCATTTGTTTGATTATAATAAAAAGCTACAAGGGTACATGGAAAGCAAAGTAGTACGAAGCACCAACCACGAGTATATTTAATAAGATGAAATATTAGATATCTTAAGTAATATAAAAAATTTGAATTTTTAACGATTACGAATGAAATAAATTAAGTTGATAGGATCGTCTTTATCATAATATTCGATCTAAATTAATAAATTAAATATTGATAATTGAAGACACTCAATTTTGTCTTTTATTAATATTATTGTATTCTATAATTATATATATATAATATTATTAATTAAATGGTACAGGCCCATTTTAAAAAATTAAATTATATTTGCAGGTCCAATAAACCGCTGGAGTGTAGCCCATCGTGCAGAGGAATAGGGTTCCTGGAAACCCTAGCTCATCCCAGCCGCCAGCGTTAATGACCGTTGGATCTAGACTAGATCCAACGGTTCACAACAGACCCCACTTTAGGGTTTCAACCTCCAGTCATTCCAGCACCGCACTCCACTCATTGAAGCCCCCAGCCGCACGCCTCGCACAGCGACCCGCATCATCCGGTGATCAAGACTCATGTTCATCACCAAAAACCGTAAACCCAGCATTAGAGTTTCATTAGGTTTCAAATATGTAATCTAAAGTAGGGTTTTTTTTCAGTATAAATGAATGTAAAAATCAACACACAAAATGGGGGATTGACACTGGATTCACACGAGATCACTGTGTAACAACCATTCACACACAATAGCCAAGAAAGTTCAAGCCCTTGTAAAGATCTTCGAGAGAGATAATAAAAAAAAGGTAGCTTTTTTTTACCTTGTTCATTCGATTTCTTGTCTTGCATGCCGTATCTCCTGTGTTATTTGTTGTGAAATGAACCCACAAATCGCTCCTTAGTCGATGAACAAGGGGCGTTTTCAAGATCTACTTCGGTATATCTAGCCCCCGAGGCTTGATTTGTTGGAAAACCAATCGGATATTTGAAATAGGGGAGTTGGGAACTTGCGAAAAATTAATTTTTTTTGGGTTTTGTCGCCGATGAACGGTGGTCGACGCCGTTCAACGGCGGCGACGAGGCGGCATGGGTCACCGGAATCTGGAAATTCACGCCGGCGTTCATGTGTTCTTCAGGAACACAAGAACTGGCGAGAGAGAATAAGAGAGACGGGGGTCTCGTTTTGGCGAGAGAGGAGAAGAAATGAGAAGAATAAATTTTTTTTTGATATTTATACTCAGGCCCATGGACCCGAGCGGTGACCCGCGCGTCGACCCAGACCCGGGGAGGATCCGCGTTTTCTAATAAAATAGGGAAAATTCCCCTTTTAGTCCCCTTCTGTGTCAAAAGCCCCATCTTTGTCCCTAAATTCGATTTTGTTCACTAATTTGTTCCTAAATTTGATATCCATGTTACGATTCTTTCGATTTGATCACTTTTGAAAGCCAATTTATTTATTTATTTATTTTTACTTCCTCATTTTTAATTTAACCTATAACTTTCATTTCCTTTTAATTTGAGCACCTAACTTGCGTAAAATTCAAGTTAATCCCTCTGTATTTTTTTTATTACCTATTATATTTTTTATTTTATTTATTACATATGTATATGTATATATATTTTTTATTCTATTCTTGTTATTATTATTTTCTTTTATTATTTTTATATATGTATATTACTATATATATTTTAATTATTTGCTTGTTTTTTGGACATTACGTTATATATATATATATTCTAAGTCTGTCACTATTATATTTATTTGGTTTACTTTCTATATTTTATTATTGTATATATACATATATTTTACTTTTTTGTACTCGTTTTTTTCTTATTACTATCGTTTTTTCCCCTCTAATATTTAATTATTTATCATTAATATTACTATTGAATATACATATACTTTTATTTATTTTATTTGTTTTATCTAATATATGTTACTATTTTACGTTTCCTTTATCTTAACATTTATATATAGATATATGCATGTTTTACCTTTCGGGTACTTTCATGTTCCTACCTTTAGCACCTTATTATGTATATTTACTATTATCCCCTTTTTATCTTATTCTTTTATTTTCGTCTCTATTTTTTTTTCTTTATTTTTTCCCTCGTGTATTCTGTTAATTAATCTAACATTTTTTAAGTGTACATCTTCAAATAATCAAAGGTAAGTAATTCAGGATCAAATTTTACCTTTTAATTCAAACTTTCAATTTTCTTAATTTAAGACAACTGGAAATTATGTAGTACCGAAAGGGCAGTTCAAGGGTGCTAACCCTTCCTTGACTGTAATCGACTCCCGAATCCGACACATCCTTGGTAAAACGCAGATCAGGTAAGAAATAGGGTATCCGATCAACCCAATAAATAATCGGTGGCGACTCCAATCCATTTTTCTAAGTCGAAGCCCAATTTCAGGACACAACCGAAAGATTGCGATAATAATTATAAAAAATTATACGTACACGAAGCCGAATTATGAACGAGGAATGGAGATGAGAATAAAGTGCATTATATCATCCTTACCACACATCATCGCCGCTTTCGCCTCATAATTGCCCCTTTCATGTAACGGAAGCAATGTATCATCAATAATGCTTACTTCTTAAGCGTTTTGAGTTAGTGATTTAAAGATTAACATCACTAAATAATTTGGCGTCTTTTACATATCTTTAAAACCTGCCCCTAAATATATTAAGGTAAATTGTATTTTAATATCTCAATTAATTTTTATTTCGATTTTTTTAAAGAACACCCAAATCCTTGGTTTTCGTTGTTTTAAGAGAACAGAGCCTGTTTGTGAAGCGAAGGTTGGGTTTTGAACAAATGGGTGCCTAAAAAACTCCACTTTTTTTTAGAAAAGGTGCAATAAAAAATCAAAATTTTTAAACAATCTCAATAGAAGAGACGAATGGGGGAAAAAAATTAGAATCGTTAAAAAGGATGAAAATGGGAGAGAGAAGAGAGTAGAATACGTGAATGAGTCCGATTCTCTCTCTCTAACAAGAGAATGGAAGGAGCACCAAAACCCAGAAGCTATATCATATCATATTAATATAAATACATCGGTGTGTTTTGGTTGGCATGAATCTCTTAGAATTAAGGGGAATTAAAATCCAATTCCATCACTTTCCCATGTTTGGTTCAAATTTTCCAAGGAAATTGGAATCTCTCATGACTTCAACTTTTTATCAAATGAGGGAAAGTGAATTACATCCCTTCTATGATAGAATTCAATTTCCTCGTTGGAGTGAATTGAAATTTGATCATACTACCTTCATCAATCTTTTAGTAACTTATTTATATATTGAATAAAAATATTTTTTTATTATTTCGAGTCGGGTTTCTAATTCATATATTCGGGTCGTGTCGGGTCGGGTCTCGGATGGAGGTTCCCTTGTTCTCGGGTCGGGGTGGACCAAAAACCTGACCTAACCCGACCCATGGCCATCCCTAATTGGGACGATTTTAACTTATGATGTTTATTAACATAATTTTTATAATTTATTGAAATGAATAATCAATCAATAAAATTATTTTTTTAAATTTTTTATAATATATTACTACATGTAATTTATAAAACAAACTAAAATTAAGAGGAAAAAAATAAGAAGGACAATCATGTCATTTTACATTATTGAAATCAAATTCATCTCACATGTCTACGAATCAAACAGAATATGAAATTAAATTCCAATTCAATTTCCTGTCAACCAAACAGAATATAAAATTAAATTCTAATTCATTCTAATTCTTTCACATATTTTAATTCTCCCATAAACATTATACAAATTTATAGCTGATTTCACTTCTTTTCCAGCCAGCACACAGAGCCTTTGGGTTCTCGAGAAGGCAAGCCGGAATATCTGCCTTGTAAACTCACACGTATGTACTTTTAATATGGTACAATACTGTCGATCTGTAAAATTGTAGAGATCAAAGTGTAGATATGGTAAAGAAAAAGTGGTGATTTTGATTTGAGTCCAAAAAGATGGTGGGGGAAGGGACAGAAAAAGAAAGATTGTTATTTGATTCTATAGGCAGCCATCAACTACCAAGTCTGAAATAGGTCTTCTTCTTTAGTTCTTGACATGTTTCCAGACTTCCAGTGCCTGCTGGTCAACTTGGTGTGACCCTTTAGAGCGTAGCTTTAAAATTTAAATCGTTATTTTATTTATTTTAATTTATTAATTTATTAAAAAAATACATAGATAAATTACATATTTAATCATTTAATTATTCGTGTAGTTTTATTTTTATCATTTAATTATTTTTATTTTTAAAATCATAATTAAACTTAAATTTTTGTTTTGTTTTAATCACTCAATTCAATTAAATTTAATTTTTAACAATATATAATAATCCATTTCTATCTCATGTTTTTTAAACTCAATACATAAATTTAATGTATAATAATAAAATATATTATAACATAAATAACATACACCATATTTAGTTATTTGTACTTAACATTTCGATAAAATAATATTATATTATGTATTTTGTAAATATACATGTTTTAGATAAAATTTTATAGAGTTTTCTTCTTAATGATTTGTCGTGCTTCTAATTTTATCAATGGTAATGGAGAACTCTTTTTTCAAACGCCATAGTTTCGATTCGAGTCGGACTCAAACTCGAACTAAATCGAACAAATAATTTGAAATGATTTGAACTTGTGGGGGCGGTTTTTATTACGTTATTACTATGTATAAAAGCATTTATAATTTATACAATTTTCCGACAGCCACTGCAATTCCCACAAGCATTGCAAGCAAACCCATGTTCTGTCCTGGGGGCAATTCGTCCATTTCGAACATGCTTTTGATCACATCGGCACCGCCGACGTACTTCCCCTTTATAAAATCCTGGGGGCAAAGTCACGTTCTTCGCTTTCAATATGCTCTGCAACTCTTTCTTATAAGCAGCAACCATGGATCGACCCAAAGTCTTAACCCTCTAAAAATCATCATCATGGTGTAACAATCCTTGTAAGTTTAAATATTGCGTGATATAAATGAATTTTTATATATATGTAAAATTAAAAAATAAATCTAATCACTCTGGGTGACCAAAACGAAACAAAAAACTTGAGTTCAGTGACGATTTTGAAAACATAAATAGTTGACTGACCAAAATAGAGCAGCACGAGTTAAGTTGAAGCATAGTCATGGATTCATTCAAAGCTAAATAAGTCATGAAAAAAATTAAAGGCATTGATGGAGTCTTTCACTTCCATTGTTGCAAAACGTAAAACAACTCAACCATTTATGGTACTCAGAGTTCAACAAGAAGCTAAATTAATCGGTCAAAAAGAAGAAAAACAACTTATCCAATACAAAAGCAACATATTCCTTAAAGGGTGACAATATTCTGCCCGAGAATTTCAGCATGTATTAGCCACAATAGCAAAATCCTTTTCCTCGAATGAAAAACCACTATTATATCGGGTAGAAATACACAGCTCAATAAAATTTTACCTGTCCTTCACAGATCCACTTTACGAAATAATACACGTTGCTTGCCTCAAAAATGGGGGGATGTCGTCGGTAGGGGACTAGTATGAAGTGGTGATGAGCAGAACTGCGGAAGCCATCACGGACATTGACATTAAAAGGGGCATGCCAAAATTAGAATAGACTCTGACAGGCCTTGACCTCAGATGCCTGAGCTTCCAACAGAGCTTGTCCTGAAGGATTTGAGCTAACAATCCGGATTGCTGCATCAAATACAATTTTTTGGTACATGTTGTATTCCATCTTCTTAAGGACTTCCTTCACTACATTAAAGTCTAATCCCCCAGCCAAAATAAGTTTCCCAGTTATTTCTCCGAAATTATTTGGCACTTTTGGTAAATCGATGCCAATATCATCCAAAAGGGCACCGTAGAGTAGGCATCCAGTCCCTATGTCTCTAGTTGTAAGAACTTTCTTGATAAACAAGTATTCTATAAGCTTTGAAACTGGCTCAACACAAGGTGGAATTTTCTCCAAGGCAATGGAGATAGCTTCTTTCACAACCTCAGGATGGTGTGACGGAGATCCTAGTTCCTCCACACACTGCAAAGCTTCATCCAGAAGCCTAACACTGAAATATTCCTCCAACAGGGCCCTTGTTTTTCTACTAAGGTCTGCTGGATTTAGTTTTGAAGCTGGTGTAAGTGGTTTCTCCGAAACTGGAGACGCAATAGCCACAGGAACAGATTTGGCAGGAAGAGAAGGTTGTGCCACAGGCTCAGCACCCAAAATCGGATTGGATGGCTTAGCCGATGGGGTTGAACTTCCCTGCAACAGGGCACTTGTCTTACCACTCATTAGACCACCACTACCTTGAGGCAACATCCTTGGATTGACTGAAGTTGACTTATTGATTAATGATGAAGGAACACGCCCTCCAGGTTGTGTACCTGGTCCATCACCCCTTGGCATTGACCTTGTTCTAGGAACCTCCCAGTTATCATTGTCCATTCCCGGCATTCCCGGCATCCTCCTAGTTCCCGGCATTCCAGGCATCAAACCCCCAGTACCAGGACGAGTGATAGGAAACCCCCCAGGACCAGGACTCATTGGACCACCAGAAACAGGTCTATTTCTAATACTAGCAGTAGCACCTGGACGCAGCCCAAGGTTTTTTTCAGCTTCAGAATGGATTTCAGTAATTGTTTTGGCTTTCACCTGCAAATTTAGTACAACAAGGTGACATTATCAAAACCTATTTAAAGCAATATGTCAACATCTTTCTAATCTTTCTAACCTAACACAGATATTGATGGCGCTTAGGAGTGTTACCTCTTCACGCCGGGGAACCCAATTGTTAGCACGCAGATCAAGAACATCACGAACCATAAATTTCAGTCTTGAAGCATGCTGGGGATTTGTGACCAAGTCCTTCAGTCTAGTGAAGTAGGTATCATTTATGCGCCGTGATTTTGGGCTCTCATCAAGTTGCTTACCAATAGTATTGAAGAACTGACAAATGGCTTCAACATTCTCCTCCACAGGGCAAGCTTTAGTATCATAGCCCAAAAGTTCCTGATGGGAAAACAGAAAAAATATGATTTAACATAACTTACTAAAAATCTGATTTGCACGGGTGACAAGAAGTATTGGCAATAACCTGCACAATGTGATGAACTATCTTCTCAGGTACCATTTTCTGCTTCAGAAGCTCACCAATTAAACGAATGTTACCTAGAGTACGGAGCTTAACCAACCTTTCTTTATCTCTCCGCTCCATCTCTTGCTCAGGGCCAATCATCTGAGACACCTCTTCCCTAAGCTTGTCAGCTCCCTCAAATGCCTCCTGGCAGTTATTCAAGAGGACACGCTTAAATGTAATGTCTTTTCCACCGGGTTCATCAGATGGGAACGAGGGTAGCTTGTCATTAAGATCAGAACATAAAAGAGCATACATAGGGCAAAATGTGGGTTCCAAAACAGCCTTCTCAAATATTAGACTGATAACATCCTGTAAAGAGGTCAAAGATATCCCATTAGTAATGTGTAAAGCATGTACATTTTATACAAACACAGACCTAGAAATTGTACAAAAGGTATGTAGCGATGCCAAAAGAATAATGGAAATGCGGAAAGTACCAACCTTCAAGATATCAGCTGATGTAATACCAGAATCAAGAAGTTGATCCTTCAAAAGATCATACTTCTCAGGGGTCAACTTGTTCAGTATCCTGCACAGAGAAAATAACCATTCAGAATAACCATAATCCATACTAGTGCAATCTTGACAACAATGCACTTAGCAAGTTCCCTAAAAATGGAAGCCATCTTGTATTCATCAGCTTCCAAAACTAAAACCTTAATACCAACCATACTAAAGAAACCTATATTCTCTATGAATTTAAGAACTTGACCATGATATTCCGATCTTGGGAAGTTCAAAGAAAAGCCTTCGGTTCAATAACTTAGAAACAAAAGAAAATGTTCTAACATAGATTTACTATAAAGATTATCGGCATACATCATGCTAAATGAATAAGATAAATAAAAGGCTTTTTTTGTGGTAGGTTGATAGAAATAGAAGAGGCATATAAAATGCATGAACCTGCTTTTATGATTTCTCAGCAGGAAGTGGTGAAATATATACGTGCAAGAAACATTTTGAATGATTACCCTTTTACAGTCTTTAGAACACGGTCCTTCTCGGAAAGATTCCCCTTCTAGCAGACCATGGCACCTCAGCCTTGACCAAAGCGGGAGTTGTCCCCCCTAGCTCAACACACAAAACCAAATGTTAATGCCAAAGACAAATGACAGGCATATCTTGCAGCACAGATACACTTGCTACTTACAGGAATAAGTACAAAGCTAATATGAAGAAACAAATGACAGATATCTTGCAGCACAGATAAATTTGCTACTTACCGGAATAAGTACAAAGCTAATATGAAGAAATTATAAGTTGAAGAGTTCCTTGAATTTATCATTATGGAAAACAAAAACAAAAACACTCGAATTTGTGTGAGGAACAAACAACTGATTTGCTTTGAAATTGGTGTGGAATAATGCAAGGTAACAAAAGCAAACGAGTTAATATATGAAAAAATAAAATACCAAATGTAATGTTACTAAAGGTGTTGAACTACTCATGATTATAAATAAAACAAATTTAAAGAAAATTAAGAGCAATAATTACTGATGCAACTTCTTGAACAATTTCTCCCAGAATGATATTAAATACTGGTGGTTTAAGACGTTAAGTGGATCTGCTGATTCAAGGACTAATTCCTAACATAAAAATTCAACAATAAATGTTTTAACTACCTGCACCACCCCCTAAAAACTTGAAAATTCTGGCAAAGCCATAAAACAATAAACACACCAGAAATCTTATATAAGGAAAAATAGTTCATATTGTGTTATGTCAATTACCATTTGGTTAGAAAAGATTTGTTCCCTTGAGTACTGAGAGTTGAGTTGATCTTGAAGATTAAATTGACTAACTTCTAGATGTCTGGAGTCATTTCCCAATTCTCTATCACGAAGAGACTCCCAGGACCTATCCCCTCCATCAGGAGGTGCTGAACGGTTACGCCAGTCACGATTATCAGGCTCAGAGTAACGGTTGTGACCCTGACTTTGTTTTGGTGGCTGGAAAAAGTAAAGGATGAAGAACAAGCTTTAACAAATAATGATTGCTTGACAGCAATATTAAAAAATTATGGTATTTCATCTCGGTAATTAGTTTCTAGCAAAATAAATCAATTGATCAATAAGAAGCAAAAGACCATTTAGAGCTCACATTGCTTTCTCCACGACTCCAGTTCTGCTCTTCACCAAAGAGTTCCACCTCAATTTCTCGTTTGATGTTAAGAATCTCATCAGCAACTTCTACCACCTAAAAAGGCAAGCAGCACAATCAGATATTATATCAAACAGTAGTTAAAGTGCGATGGAATTCAATAATTGAAACAGATATAAGTGAAACAGGATACTGAAAATGTTGAATAACTTCCTTAGATGCAAACAAATAGCATAATTGTTATTTTCTAGTTGATTTACAGAATTAAAATGCTACAAATAGTTCTCTGATGCACAGATGAAACATATTACCATGCACAAATTCGTAAAATTACCTCCCTAAGCTGAAGAAGCTGGTCCCTAGTGTACTGAACTTGGTCACGACCCTCAAAATGCGTGTCTCCAGCCTACAACAGTAAAGCAATTGATAACTTCATATTTTGGGAAATCATTATATTGTTTATTTGTTCTTCCACATCCAATATATCAACAATATGTTCACAATATTCAAAAGACAACTAAGAGGATTGACACACAATTAGAAAAAGGTCATTGACTCTTTGATCAATGGAACACCTCTATCTCTATCATATAAGATTCTAAATGTTTTTAGGTCATTTATGGGCAGTCAATAGCTCATAGACTTAGGCACCTGTTTCCAGCAAGCACGTGTACTATGTGCCCAAGGAAGAATTAGAACTAATCACATGTGCACACTTTTAATGGCCTAATAATATGCATCTAAATATTCATTCGTTCGTAAATTCAAAGGACAATAGGGAAAATACCAAATTTGCGGCTGAAAGCACAATGGAAAACATAAGTCTTTCAGACGAAAAAAGATCAATGCTTTTATCTCAAAGAATATCAATAATAACAAATAAAATCAAATCTACTAGCTAAGATCCAATATTGCAAGGAGCGTTTCCACGCATATACGACACTAAAAATTTAAAAAGAAACCCCATTTAAATCCAATAGCAAAACATCTAAAAAGACCAACCCAGAACAAATCAATCAAAAACCAATAGAAGAAGACATTAGAAGGTTAGATCCAGAAAAACTGAGATATGGGTTTTGAAAATAAATGGATAAAAAGATAGAACCTTAATAGAAGAACCGCCATGAGGACGAAAGAGAGGAAGATCGGAAGAAAGAGAACCAAAAGCAAACAGAGAAGAAGAGGAGGAAGACGATGAAGAAGGACCACCAAAAAGCCTGCCCCCTCGACCACCACCAG